TTACTTACTTATTACTTACTTACTTAACTTACTTACTTTACTTATACTTCACTTCTTACTTAGCTTTAGCTTCACTTACTTACTTACCTTACTTACTTACTGTACTTACTTACTTACTTACTTACGTACTTACTTACTTAACTTACTTACTTACTTACTTACCTTACTTACTTACTTACTTCACTTTACCTTACTTTACTTTACTTACTTACATTACTACTTACTTACTTACTACTTACTTACTTACTTACCTTACTACTTACTTACTTACTTACTTAATTACTTACTTACTTACCTTACTTAGCTTACTTACTTTACTTACTTACTTACTTACTTTACTTTACCTTACTTACTTACTTACTTACTACTTACTTACTTACTTACTTACTTACTTACTTGACTTACTTACTTTTACTTACTTACTTACCTTACTTACTACTTACACTTACTTACTTATACTTACTACTACTTACTTACTGACTGTACTTACTTATTTACTTACTTTTACTTTACTGTATGCTGCTGTAGTGCTGCGGCGTCGTATCTGCGGGTTGTATGTGTACGCGCGCGCGTGTATGTGCGGAGTGTATGTGTGGGCGCCTGCGCGGTTATGTGCGCTGTTATGTGTGCTGTGGCGGCGTGTATGTGGGGTGTGATTGTCTCGTGCGCGCCGTGTATGTGCGGGTGTATGTGCTGTGTGCGCGGCGTGTATGTGCGATGTGTATAGTCGTGAGTGTCCGGTTGGCGTGATGCTGCGGTGTATTGCGCTTGCGCGTGTGATGTCGGGTGTATTGTGTGGTGTGGTACGCGTGTATGTGCGGGTAGATGAGAATGAGTTGTGTGTGCGCGTGTCATGTGCGAGGCGTGTGTCATGTACACGGTGTGTGTGTGCGCGATGTATGTGCGGGCTGTATGCCCAGTGCTGTTGTGTGCGCCCGTGTTATGACGTCGACGTGTAGTGTGTGTTCGGTGGCGCGCGTGTATGTGCGGGTGTATGTGGTGTGTGTGGCGCCGTCCGTGTATGTGCGGGTGTATGTGGTGTCGTGTGCGCGCTGTATGTTGCGGGTGTAGTGCTGTGGTGTGTTGTGGCGCGGTGTATGTGTCGTCGAGTGTACGTGCCGCTGTGTGCGCGTGTAATGTGCGAGCGGGATGTATGTTGTCGTGTGCGCGCGATGTATTGGCGGGTGTATGTGTGTGTGGCGTTAGCGCGGGATCGGCGTGTATGTTGCGGGGTGTACTTGTTGGCGCTGTCATGTCGGAGCTGTATTGCGTGATTGCGCGGCGTGTGTGTGCGTTGTAGTGTGGCGCGCGTGTACTGTGCGGTGTGTTGTGTGTGTAGCGCTCGCGCTGCGTATGTCAGCTGTTTATGTGCGCCCGCGTCGTGTATACATGTGTAAACCAAAAGGTCCGTGATGTATGTTGTGTGTACGGCGCGTGTATGTGCGCGCGCGCGTGTGTATGTGCGGGTGTATGTGCGCGCGCGCGTGTATGTGCGTGTGTATGTGTGTGTGTGCGCATGTATGTGCGGGCGTTGTGCGTTTGCGGTTCGTTCAATGTGTAATTTCCTTTGCGTCTATTATTTACACGACACCGATGACGGGTGTGATTTTTGCGGGTGTTTAATATTCACTGCACATCCGTGTCACATCCGGCGCTGATGGCCCTTCGAGGTGAAGCAAGGCAATCATGCCTCAGCGCCGCTCGCTCGCTAACACGAAAGACTAATTAAGGACTAAAACCAACTAAAAGCGCTAAATCGAAAAAAAATTGTCGCGATAAGTTTTCGATCTTCGGCAGTGGCGCCTACTGCAAACTGAATGCTTTTGCAGTAGTACGGTTACGGTACGCAATTCTACGCTAACGCGTACAGTTGGCGTAAGAAAAGTATCTAATAAATGCGAAGTATCACCTAGTAAATAAATACCGTTCAGTTTGTCTATGTTTATGCATGATTTATCGACAATAATCATTGTTTGATATGAGCAAAGCATTATGACGAATGTCGAAAGCATAAACGTCACAAGGCTGTGTTGAACATTCGAACCTATATATAACAGATAAGCACATAATTGAAATCAGTAGATGGTCACATAGATAGTTAGGGTTAGGGTTAAAACGTCTAAAGCAACTATAATAAGGAAAATCGATTGTGTTATCGTATTATTGAATGATTTATAACAGATGGGTAACGTTTAACTCCTAAAAGCTGCATTCCTCTCTGTTTTAGCGGCTCATTAACATGTAGATCTGCATCTCGTCATATATTAATACGCGAATCTTTTTTGTAAATATAATTAATTTAATTTCGGAAGAGTATCGTGTATAAACACCGACAACTGTGCATGCATACATAAAAGAACATGGCTGCATACTCGTAATGTTGCCGGTTGAAAAAAAGGTTTAATTCGTTGTTTCGAATAAAACTGCTTTTTTATTAAGAGACTCTAAGAGAAGATTCAGTATTCATGACATAGCAACTGCTTCGTCGGCACGACTGTTGCAATCATCAAGTCTACATTGCCTCCGGCTCCGAGGAGACAGCTACCTAATGTGATGTTTTTTATGTTTCAGGAAAAAGATACAGTAGCATTACTACTCTGCCTACTATAGTTCGAAAAGTACAAAATGTGTTTGGCAAACGATAACATTCGTTTCAATATCTTGTAATCATAGTTGATATTTAATTAATCACGGTGTATTGATATGTAATTAATCACGGTGTATTGATATTTAATTAATCACGGTGTATTGATATATATCATCTACTGAGGTTTTCCTATTTCATTACTTGTTTCGATACCATCATGGTGGTGTTCGTTTAGATATGATAGGCGAAAATCAAATAAACCATCAAACAACAGCAAAGTTGTGGCTCCTTCTGTACGATTGATCTCATATTTAAACAATAGCTTCCTTAATTGTGTTCTTTCTGGCTCTCTACGACTTAAAATTTCCGATTGGAACATTTGTAAAAGGCTCGGCAAAGAGGAAAAAATTGCCAATTGCTGCGTATTCTACTGCATGCTCAAAAAAATTTCATTTCGGCGCTTTCTAATCAGGCTTGACGTGTTGAATACCCATAGAATTTGAGCTAGGTGATCCATCTTATCAAGAGCGTATAAAGAACCTTCTTTATACCTTCTTTATATGCTCTTGATCTTATTAATTTGGAGTATTGTAAAGGTGGTACAACTTTACAAATGCCTTACGAACATCCAAATATGGGGGATTCTGGCGTAACTAGAACGTTGTTCACAAACTGGAGATGAGAACTCGTGTGTTCGTTGAGTCGAAACCAACTGATGATACCTTTGTATGATATGTTCAAGAGTTAATAATAGAAATCTATTCTCGAATATCTATAAGAGAGATCTAATATGCGCGTTTGTGGATATGTAGCGCTATTGTAGTTTGACGTTCACACTCGGTGTCTGAAATGTGCATGTCCTTGCAATCACTTCCCCTGCGTCCACAGACACTTTTTTGCCTAGTTCCAGCTCAGAGTCTAACACTCATTGGTCCTCTCCCCTGGAGAATTATATTTCTTAGCCCCTTTCCCTTAAAATATCAAGTTACGGTACTATATCTTTAACTAATAAAATATGACGTTATATAAAATTAATATAATATGAAAATATGCGTTTAAAATGTATACTTGCATTCATAATTGCTCTTTCAGTATACGCATATGCGACGAATTTTCCACCGAAACGCATCTTCAATTAAATTAATGGAAGTCAGTAGAAAAACGTGTTCGCGGTTGTTGTTTTTTGGTGTTTTTTGGAACGAGTTATACTTACATAACGCGTATAGTATTGCTGTACATTTGTCCCTTAAGGCCTTGATATTGTGGTTGTGTGAATGCCAATTTTTTGGTTTGTGTTTATTATTTGTGACATTTTAATAGTCTTTTGTGTCTGGGTGCAGAAAATTATTATATTTTCTATATTTATGTATTGTAAATGACAATTCCCTGCATTGCCATGTACGTTAATCTTAATCCATATGAATAATATATGTCAACACACGCCTACCGGCGCCATTGTAACGCGGCTGCAACTGTGCACACTATACCACTTATTTTTTTTTTTTTTTTTTATAATATAGATATATAATATAATACTATATATATATTATATATATAAAAGTGTAAGTCGTCACAGTGCAGCGCGGTTAGCCAGCGCGGAGCCGGTAAGCATGTGTTGAAATATAGGATTTTGGACGGAATTTACAGTTAAACTGTCGGCAATTAATAGGTGAAAAAGAGTATAGAACATAAGAATTGGCTAGGTAAATATGGTTCTTTCTTTTTTTTTTGTTTTTTTTTTTTTTTTTTATTTTTTTTTTTTTTTTTTTTTTTTTTTTTGTTTTTTCGATTTCGTATTTATTTAGCATTATATTTTATTGACGCTTCAAGTGCCTGATTGCGCTAAAATCACCTGCTTGCAGTGAATGACATATCGATAATATAATTATTATGGTGCGTGGCGGGAGTTACTGTGATTTATTGCGCATTAGTTGCGGTGGAATATCCAACGTGTTTACGGTTAATACAATACATCCAAGCCAATTACTCAACATCAGAGTAGATAATAGGCGTCTATATAGGCGTATAATAGACCCTAGTGGGATATAGGGGATATAGCGGTATATAGCGGAGTATAGGTTCCTATTATCTACTCCTGTTCAACTATCAATCAATTCAACATCATTCAATAATCCAAGCAATACATTACATACAGCAATGAATGTAATCAAGTAGCTTAGATGAAAACGTCGATAGTGCTTGTTCTGGGACTGCAAACCTTCAAAACGATCAAGTGTATAATATCCCTAATTCTGCTACGCGTTACGCGCGATAACGACGTAATGCGTTTAGAGAGTTCGGCGACTCTCGCTTTTGCTTACCTTATAGAAGTTACGCTAGATGCCTACTTGAGTCGGAAGGCCTAGCTTAATTGAAGCAGATGCCCTACTTCAACTCTAAACGGAAAGATGAGGATCTTCAGTGTGTTTTCCGCCGACGTTCCTCGGTGACAAAATGAACATGCACTAGTTTGACTGAATTGCTTCGTGAAATCAGGGAAATAGTATTATAATATCCTGATCAATACAAGCCTAGCTAGCTCATTGTGGCGACGCTATCTTCTCTCTCTCTCTCTCTCTCTCTCTCTCTCTTCTCTCTCTTTCTCTCTCTCATCCTCTCTCTCTCTTCGCTCTCTCTCTCTCTCTCTCTCTATCTCTTTCTCTGTCTCTTTCCTCTTCTCTTCCTTGTCTCTTCTTCTTCTTCTTCTTCTTTCTTCTTCTTCTTCTTCTGCTTCTTCTTCTCTAGCTCTCATCCTTTCTCATCTCTCTCTTTCTTTTCTCTGCTCTTCTCTCTCTCTATATATTATTAATATATTATATATATATATTATATATTATATTTACTTTTTTTAGGCGGAAGTTTACTCCGCGCGGAA